ATTATTCAATTTAAATCTTATTCAAACAATAACAATTTAAAATTCAAAAAACTAAAATATTATTTAAATATTTCAATAACTAAACATCTTAAATAAAAAATATTATAAATAGATAAATAATTATATAACAAAATATTTAATATTATGTAATAACTTTAAAATAAATAAAATTTCAATAACGAAAACTTTTAAATATTTTACATATTATTTAAATATTTAATTAAATAAATATTTTAAATAATTTTATAATATTAATCTATATTTATTATATATTTATGTTTACTAAAATTAAAATTTGTTGTATTTTCAGTAATTATTTATTGTTTTTGTGATAAATATATTTTCAATAATTATCTAAAAAAATATTTTTGTTTTGTTATTTAATAGAAAATTTTCAATAAGTATTGGAGATTAAACTATTGTTATTTAACTTTTTAAATTTAGTTTATTTTGCTTATTTTATTTATTGTATTTTTGTTATAATTTATTTATTAATATTTATTAGAGATTAAACTATTTATTGATTAATTTATTATATTTTTGGTATTTATTGTATTTTCATTATCAATATTTTTTCAATAATTGTGTATATTTTTTCTATAAATTTTCAATAATTATTGGAGACCAAACTTTTGTTATTTATTAGAGATTAGAGTATTAATTTAGTTGAAATTAGGAGTGTTCATGGGTTTGTTCGGCTCGTTTGCAGGTTGTTTGGCCAACCAAATCCACCTGGTTAAGTTGGGGAGTTGGTCACCCAAAACAATTGACCATTAGTGAAAACTTGGCCAAGTCGAGTTGTATCGGTTTGGATTGATTTTTGATTTGGTCAGTCAGTTCAAAAGATTTAAACTTAATAATTAAATTTAAATTAAAAAAAATTATAGTGACATTATTAAAAAATAATTTTATAATATAAAATATTTTAAACTAAGAAATATGGAAAACTTCCCACTTTTCCCATATTAAAAAAGTTATATTAAAAATATAAAATATTAATATATATCTATGGTCAAGTTGTTCAAATTTATTCTATTTACAAATGGGCAAAATAGGATTAATTCAAGCTGGTCAGATTAGGTATATATCTAATCGATTTGGTTTGGTTTAAACTTAGCTTACAAAACCATAACCCGCAACTAAACCAAAAATCAGTTTTATATTCAAATATTCAATGATACCGAAACCAACCAACTCATTTGAGAAACTGACCAAATTGGGTCGAGTTGGGCGTTGGTTTAATAGGTTTGGTCAGTTTTTATTATTTCAAAAATAAGCCTACTCCTCACATGTGGCTAGATAACAAGTTAACAATTTTTATTGGCAACCTTGTATAACTTTCTCAACTAGGAAATATGATTAGCTGATGTAAGCATGACATGCAATTATATGGTGTGTCTCACACCAATATATGTCCAATTACAATGTCTTTATTTGATGATGACCATATGATCAAAAGTAGATAATGAAATTACCTGTAAACAAGTACACATGAATCATACAATCAACGCTCATCTATCATGAATAGAACAACCTCTTTTGTATTGTATGGTTTAAAAAAAAAAAAAAACGCCATTCTCAAAGAAAAAATATTGGTATGGTTCTTGAACCATTCCATATTAGCATGGACGGAACCCTTTAAAAATAATGTGATGAACTTTAAATACCCAAATTACCTTCTAGATGATTTCACTCTTGTATTCTTCATTTCTTGCATTTTTTTTTAAGAAAAAGAAAAAAGAGATTTTATTCAACTTAGAACCTGCATTGAGCTGCATACATCTATCCCTCCCCTCCCTAGACCCTGCATTGGTAGAATATAGAATAAGAGCTCTGTGATGGTTCCAAGTGAAACAACCCAGCCCTACAATGCTGGTACTAGCACAAAAACCCCACATCAACCCAGCCATACCAATTGCATAACCACTCTATGAAGCTTCTCTACAAGTTTTGATAGAACCTTAGCAAGAACCAAGGTTGCGTTTATAGTAGTAGCGACAGGTTCTCTCTTTAATGTCCCAACAAAAGCTTAAGCTATTTCAATGGCCACCCATCCTAGAGCTTCAAATTCAATGGTGTTGGCACCAAGGGAAGATGTGACAATTACGTCTTCATGTAGGCCCAAGTTTGCTGTCTTTTGGAGGTAAGTCTTTGGTGAAGAAGTGAAGCTTCAATGGAGGTAGACAATCTTCAACACTTCCCTTCTGCACATCCATGGATCTACCTACTCTAATGCCAATTGATATGAACCTTTTCTTTTCACAGGGAAGGGAAGAGGGATTACTCAAACTGTAGTGCAGAGCACTGCTAAAGAGAGTCAAAACCTACTCAAGAAGATTTCGAATGGAGATGACTATAAAAAAAATATTCAATGTATTTCTTTTAGGACTATATATATAATATTCAGTCTCAAGGTAGAAGACAATGAACAATGTCTTCTTTTTAAGGGTAGTTTTGACATTTTCAACAGATAACTGGTGGTCGGTTAACAGCAAGGACCAACTTGATACTTTTTAAAAATTTAGGTACTGCAGTGACATGTTTAAAAGTTTGGGTACTAATTTGACACTACCCCCAAAGTTCAGAATACTAAAGTGAAATTATCCCTATTGTTAACCATCAAAAAGTATAAATAACCAATAATCATTGTAGTGGTTAAGTCTGAATTGCATTATTGGATCTTCAAAGATTGGATGGGCTAACAAGTTGGGCCCATTAAACTCAAAGGCTCGTAACATCCTATAATTGGGCTCAAATCTTGACTGCCTAACTTGTATAAGAGTGTCACTTGTCTCCCACCAAGGAATAAGAATGGCTAGTATAGCTTTAGCTTCCACTCTCGAGATAAATTCCAGAATCCAGATCTTCCATGAACCACATTGCTTATGAACAAGTCTGCTACCCAAGTATAGTCACCTTCTGGTCAAACTGATTGGACATTTAGCTATCCCCCTAGGATGCATTGGAATCCAAGGCTCAATCCAAATACACTGATTGTGATTGGCCATCCCCATTCGGCAGTTCCCCAATTCGCCATGAACACCCAGCCTTTAACCAATCCCGCCCCCACAATAAACTATGCCACCCCCACGACGATTTGGATCCCATATTAGTTGACCAAAAGTCCTTATTAGTGTATAAATCCCATACCATCCATTGACTTCAAGGAGCAGAGCGCAACCCAATTTGGAAAAATTATGCTCCTTGTTCAAGAAACAAAAATTGAAAAAAAAAATCATTCTTAAGTGTAATTCAGATTACTTGGGCTCAACACTATTTTAGGGGTTGACAATTGTATCTTAATTTTGTAGTAATAAAGTTGCCGTTTCCAATAAAAAAAGAAGCTCAATTGATGATTTTGTATATGAGAATGTTGTTTCATGATACCTAAATTCCAAAAGAAACAAACATACAAGCAAAATAAAATAATAAAGATGGGTCATCCAGAAAGAGCAAAAGAATAAGCTACTTGAATAAACAAAAGATCAACTCTCACCATAACCGTTTCATATTAACTATAACTTACTTGTCTGGTGTTCCCCATCAAATGGACCATGGAAAAATAGAAGTATCTCTTTCAGGAGACCAGATCTTCTGAAAACAAAAAGTTTTGAGAGTACAGCATCCAGTCGTAAATTGGGACATCTCCCATAATGCCCGTGCTTTTACAATTTGCAGAGTTTTTGTTTTCAGGAGATCCCATATACTCTTCCAGAACCAAAATACTTCGGGACAAAGATTTAAACAAAGAGGAAAAGATGCAAAGCAATTAGAACCACTACACGTGACCATTTCAACAACTTGCATTTGGTTTATCTTCCATGAAACTTTCATCCATTGCATTGTGATTGGTAAGAGTGCAAAAAGCAATGTATCAATTTAAAATGCAAATTTGGTCAATAAGCATGAAAGCAAACTTGGTTCAGTTTTGCATTGATAAATTTTGTATTGTGTTTGGTTGTGATAGATACAAACACAAATTTTAAGACTGGAATCTACCTATTTTTACATTAACCAACTTTTTCTTTTTGGTATTTGGTGCCATGCACCATTGATAACTTCCCCTTGACCCCCCTTTTCCCCAACCATCAACGCTGGAACAAACCAGCTAACACACCAATGAGCCAGCCCTCGGTTTTTTACATTAACCAACTTAGAATGCAAAGTTTTCTTCCATTTTCTGGAAACAAACTTTGCTCCCATTTTGAAAGCAAAAACGTCCAAAAAACCCTTTACTTTTATTCTTAGTACGAACACATATTCTTACCACACAACTTCAAAACCGAACCAGAGTACAAATTCACCTCGGTTCTGCATTTGCACTCTTACCAAACACAGACTTGACGTATTTTGGTGTATGGAAAACTTGCCAACTCCATTGGAGGCTGTAGAGCTTTCATCTACCTGAAGGAAGAAACATATACACAGAGAATAGCACAATAAAGAAAGTGGAAAGCAAAACAATAGTACATTGAAAACAAAAAGTTGCACACACTCTGGAAGCACAGGCATCCAGCCACACGTTGAGAACATCTCCCTATGAAGCACATAGTTGCTTGCAGGAAATCCGGGCCCCAACTTGAAAGCCACTGAAAAAGTTCACAATATCAAGGAAGCTCACCAAAAAGGCCAATCTGCTGTAGCAAGAACATGACAAAGAAATGTCGTGGTTGCTTACAGAAATTATCTTAAAACCATGGTTACAAAAGGAATCAAATATTGAGCCATCTATTAACAAGCCATTGATAAATTGCAGAACTCTAAAATATCAAGGAAAGACCTTTTAGACTTGCAGCATGTCAAGAGCATCACATCTGATCAGTATTTTTTTATGGTAAAAAATAAATTTCATTAAAAATAAAAACAAAATACAAGAGGAAGGTGACAAGACATCACCCAAGAGAAAGAAAACAGAATTGCAATGATACTTGGTTGCTGTATGCAGCAAGTAGAAAGGGATAAGAGAGAGTGGAGAGAAGATATATGAGAAGAGAAGTATGAGATAAAAAAAAATGAAGAGCATAATGTGATTCTCACCAGTCAGCTGCAATTATATATATTTTCTGTTCTCCAACCATCTTATGACAAATTTACAGTCTCCTTCCACAATCAAACAGATCATTCAGAAACTGAACTGATCTCAAAGCTAATATGGAGATATACCAGCAGAGTAGAATTGCCTTGGGAAATATAAGGCACCCATAGCAATAGCCAAAATTTGTTGGCCTCAAAGCATCAACTCAATCAGATAATTTCAGCCATCTAAGCACATTCTTCTGCTCAGCACTGCCTAACACCTACCTCACGGGTTCACATTCCACTTACAAATATGAGAAGAATGTTTTCTATACCTTTATCATTGCATTTAAGTCTGTATAGGTCAGATTTTCTGATCATGAGCACCTCATCATCTGCATAAAAAAAAAGGAAAAAAAAAAGAAGTTCAAATAGCTTAAGTTATCCAGAAAAGTTTAACAAACTCAGTTAACTATACAAAGAAGTGACCACTGTAACATTCATAATTGTAATCATTCATGGAGAGTGGGAGACGAGAGACAGAGAAAGAGAAGGAAAGAGAGATACAATTGAGAGAAAAAGAAAACTATCTCTGGCTGCCGCCAGTTCACTATTTATATTAACTTAATAAAAAAGAATAGAAATTACAAGTATGCCCCTGGCGGCACACCCTAGAAACAAACTAATAAGAAAAAAGGAAAAATAACTAAGTGACAGTATCTTAAGAGGACAACCTACCAACAGCAACTATAAAGTACCAATTAAATAAGCCTTACAACACTCCCCCTCAAGTTGGGCTGAATATGTCTATCATGCCCAGCTTGTCACATAACTCATTGTGACGCGAATGGAAGCCCTTTTGTGAGGACATCAACAAGTTGTTCCTTGGAGTTGACATAAGGGATGCAAATTTCTCTTTTTTCCAATTTTTCCCTTATTAAGTGTTTGTCCACCTCAATGTGCTTGGTCCTCTCATGTAAAACAGGGTTGCTGGCGATGTTTATTGCTGCCTTGTTGTCACAGTAAAGAGACATAGGATTATGAACAACAACTCCAAGCTCCCCTAGAAGATTCTTTAGCCAAAAGACTTCAGCCACCCCATGTGCCATAGCTCTATATTCAGCTTCAGCACTTGACCTTGCTACCACACTTTGTTT